TCTGCATTTTATATTAACATGGAGGTCGTTAATGTAATTTTCACACTTCCCTTCACGAGTGTTGCAACCTTCACACGAAAATGCAAGGAGAATGTGGCAACATGAGAAAAACCACTTCGAGTTTTAACTTTTCGCCAAAAGAACCTCCCTTAAACACATTTTCCCGATGCATAAAGCATGAAACCCATGAACAGTAAAACTTCTTCAAGAATTTCATACAATCTACTTGATTTCTTCCATGAACCTCAAAGTATCCATACATTCTTCATACATGGTGAGTTCAGAAAAACCCATGTTGAAAATGAACCAGAAACGCCTCCTTTTCACCAAGTTACCTCTAATGGCGTTTTCTGTCCTCATGGTCATCTTCATCATCTTCAACCTCTACATAAAAAACCCATTTCAACATTCATCAAATGTCCAAAACTACCCTTCAACAAAGCGATTCAGCCTCCTAATAGGGATCCTAACTCGAGCCGATAAACATGAACACCGTCATTTCCTTCGCCTCATCTATGGAATCCAATCCTCTCCCTTAGCTCAAATAGACCTCAAATTTGTATTCTGCAACCTCACAAAACAAGAACAAAGAGTTCTAATCTCCCTCGAGATCTTAAAATTCAATGACATTATCATTCTTAACTGTTCAGAAAACATGAACGATGGGAAAACCTACACATACTTCTCTTCACTTCCAAATATTCTATCTCACCCTTATGATTATGTCATGAAAGCAGATGATGATGTCTATTTTTCGTCTTTTACCACTCGCATCATCCCTCCAACCACTTCCAAGATCGGATTTGTACTATGGGTTTGTGATTCCATGCCAAAGTATGGATCCGTTTGTGTCGTATATGTCCGGAATGGGGTTTGTTTTATCATGGGATTTAGTGGAATGGATTGCAAATTCGGATATTCCTAGGAATGATACAATTGGCCCCGAGGATAAACTGGTTGGAAAATGGTTAAATCTTGGGAAAAAAGCAAGAAATAGGGTTTCTAATAAGCCTGTTATGTATGATTATCCTGGCATGAATGGCAGGTGTTCACATGAGCTTATTCCTGAAACAATAGCCGTTCATAAGCTCAAAAGATGGGATCAATGGCTTGATGTGATTCGGTATTTTAATGTTACTAAAGATCTTAATACATCGAAGCTTTACAATGGTTTGAACTTTGACTCGGTTTTCAATTTAAAAATGTAAAATTTGTTCCTTTTTTTATTGTTAAATGTTATCGATCATGCTTTTCATATAGATATAGCGGCTTAAAATCAGGATAGTCGACTGTATTTACCCCATTATCTAATTTTTCTTTTTTTTTCCTTTTGATCCGTTGTTGATTGTATGAAATAATTCAGTTTCAATAGTTGACGATGTAATTTCTACATAAAAACACAATGTAGACAAAGAATGTGAATTTCTTTATTATCTTTCTTCATACATGTTAGCTCTCGCTCTTTACAATAATTCATCGGTATTTTATTGGAATCTTGTTTTCTTTCAATTATATTTTCTTGGAAGAACAGGAAGTTATGAAGTCATATTGCAACACTCGTGAAGGGAAGTGTGAAAATTACATTAACTGTCTCCATGTTAATATAAAATGCAGAAAGTACCCTTGAGAGTCCTTGCTATACATAAAATAACGCATGTTATTGAAATGAAACCAATGTTGACAATTATATCTTCTTATATTATATGCATTTAATTTAATTTACTCAATCAATTAAACAGCGGATACTTAAAAGACAAAACTAAATCAATCATCTTCTCAATGGCAATACTCGACACAGTGAAAAACATAACTGGACTCACTGAGTGGTTCGGACAAAACAAGCGACTCAGATCCCTGGTCAACCTCGTAATTGTAGCCGGTTTTTTTGACCCTTCAAAGTCAAAAGATAGAGAAGAAATGGCAGAAATTAAAAACATGCATTTATTAATCGAAAAATACGAATTAAAAGGTCAAATAAGATGGATAGTTGCACAAACGGATCGAAACAGAAACAATGAATTGTACAGGTTTATTGCTGACTCAAAAGGCGCTTTTGTTCAACCAGCTTTATATGAAGCTTTTGGATTAACAGTTATTGAGGATATGAATTGTGGGTTGCCTACTTTTTCAACTAATCAAGGTGGGCCCGCTGAGATTATTGTTGATGGGGTTTCTGGATTTCAAATTGATCCAAATAATGGCGATGAATCTAGCAACAAGATTGCTGATTTTTTTTCAGAAATGTAAAGAGGATGATGGATATTGGAGTAGAATTTCTGATGGTGGTTTGCAACGTATATATGAATGGTAATAGTGTTTCTTTAACCGGTTAAGGGTAAAATGGTCATTTGGTATTAATTATTATTATTCTTTTTTGTGATTTTTTAGCTACACGTGGAATATTTATGCGAATAAAGTGTTGAATATGGGGAACATTTATGCATTCTGGAAGCGGATAAATAAGGAACAGAAAGAAGCGAAACAGAGATACATTGAATTATTTTACAATCTGCATTACAAGAATTTGGTACATATATATTTGCCTATAATTGATGGCATTTTATTTATTATTTTTATTATTATTATTTTTTAATATTCGATATAATGTCACAGGTTAGGACTGTGCCTATTGCTACTGATGAGGTTCAATATGCACCAGTGCCAAAAGCGAAGCTTACAACAACGCCAACTACGAGGCATGTCATCTAAATATATACATTTTTAATTATAATTTATAAAATTTGGTTTTCAGACAAATAATTATTTATTTATTTATTTTTGTCTAGCAGACGTTCGCAATCCACTCTTCAAAGGTAAGAAAAAGACCGGATTTATAATAATTATTGAGTCCTGTTTTGGGACGACAAAAAAGTGTTGACTAATTTCTTGCTTTATTTCAGGCTATTTGGAGCATAAAGGTTTGATGGCAATGCATCTACTTCAAGATCATATGACTTCATAACTTCCTGTTCTTCCAAGAAAATATAATTGAAAGAAAACAAGATTCCACTAAAATACCGATGAATCATTGTAAAGAGCGAGAGCTAACATGTATGAAGAAAGATAATAAAGAAATTCACATTCTTTGTCTACATTGTGTTTTTATGTAGAAATTACATCGTCAACTATTGAAACTGAATTATTTCATACAATCAACAACGGATCAAAAGGAAAAAAAAAATTAGATAATGGGGTAAATACAGTCGACTATCCTGATTTTAAGCCGCTATATCTATATGAAAAGCATGATCGATAACATTTAACAATAAAAAAGGAACAAATTTTTACATTTTTAAATTGAAAACCGAGTCAAAGTTCAAACCATTGTAAAGCTTCGATGTATTAAGATCTTTAGTAACATTAAAATACCGAATCACATCAAGCCATTGATCCCATCTTTTGAGCTTATGAACGGCTATTGTTTCAGGAATAAGCTCATGTGAACACCTGCCATTCATGCCAGGATAATCATACATAGCAGGCTTATTAGAAACCCTATTTCTTGCTTTTTTCCCAAGATTTAACCATTTTCCAACCAGTTTATCCTCGGGGCCAATTGTATCATTCCTAGGAATATCCGAATTTGCAATCCATTCCACTAAATCCCATGATAAAACAAACCCCATTCCGGACATATACGACACAAACGGATCCATACTCTGGCATGGAATCACAAACCCATAGTACAAATCCGATCTTGGAAGTGGTTGGAGGGATGATGCGAGTGGTAAAAGACGAAAATAGACATCATCATCTGCTTTCATGACATAATCATAAGGGTGAGATAGAATATTCGGAAGTGAAGAGAAGTATGTGTAGGTTTTCCCATCGTTCATGTTTTCTGAACAGTTGAGAATGATAATGTCATTGAATTTTAAGATCTCGAGGGAGATTAGAACTCTTTGTTCTTGTTTTGTGAGGTTGCAGAATACAAATTTGAGGTCTATTTGAGCTAAGGGAGATGATTGGATTCCATAGATGAGGCGAAGGAAACGGCGGTGCTCATGTTTATCTGCTCGAGTTAGGATCCCTATTAGGAGGCTGAATCGCTTTGTTGAAGGGTAGTTTTGGACATTTGATGAATGTTGAAATGGGTTTTTTATGTAGAGGTTGAAGATGATGAAGATGACCATGAGGACAGAAAACGCCATTAGAGGTAACTTGGTGAAAAGGAGGCGTTTCTGGTTCATTTTCAACATGGGTTTTTCTGAACTCACCATGTATGAAGAATGTATGGATACTTTGAGGTTCATGGAAGAAATCAAGTAGATTGTATGAAATTCTTGAAGAAGTTTTACTATTCATGGGTTTCATGCTTTGTGCATCGGGAAAATGTGTTTAAGGGAGGTTCTTTTGGCGAAAAGTTAAAACTCGAAGTGGTTTTTCTCATGTTGCCATATTCTCCTTGCATTTTCGTGTGAAGGTTGCAACACTCGTGAAGGGAAGTGTGAAAATTACATTAACTACCTCCATGTTAATATAAAATGCAGAAAGTACCCTTAAGTCCTTGCTATACATAAAGTAACGTATGTTATTGAAATGAAACCAATGCTGACAATTATATCTTCTCATATTACAATAGTTAAGGTGACATGACTCGAAGAATAAAGGGTACAAATGTTTTTTTTTTTTTTTTTCAATTTGAGAGAGTAAAAAAAAATCATTAAAATTGTAAATTGCAAAACTTGTTAACGTTGTTGACCTGTACATCTTGATGGCACATCTCACACACGTGTCGTAGAAATCTCCGCCGCGTGGAGTGGCGCGTGTACATCCAGCAGTTCCTTAAGCCCAAAAACAAAAAATCTCTGTGCTTCCCATTCTCCATCTCGAAATCCCAATTCAATCGTCCCTCAAATTACCCTAATTTCTGGTTTTCTTCTCACCAAATTCTCACAAACCTCTACGAAATCCTCAATCTCTTGTTCCGGAAAGCGGAAAAACTTGAGTTTTCGGAGGTTATATGAAATTTGTTTTTGGAATCACCATTTGTGGATTCAATGGATCGAGAGGAGAGTAATTTGTCGCTAGCAGAATACAAACCGTTCAATTACAGGGTAGTGAATGGTTCAGGTAATATTCATCATCAAACGACGTCAGGTTGGCTCGAAATTCGGCTGTTCTACGTCCGAATCACGCCGTGCGCCGTGAACACCGTGCCGGAACATTTAACGCTGCGGAACCTACGCCGTGAAATCGGCGTGTCACTCGAGATTAATGGATTTAGGGTTCCGTCAGCTAACACTGCTTTAGTAACGTTACGAAGGGACCGTGTCGACAAGGAGTCGTCGGAAGTGACGTATGTTAGCACCGATAATATTAGGGTCACTGGGGCGATTGAATTTGAGGTGATTGAAAACGAAGGAGATGACAGGGAGATGATCTTGTGTGGGTCTTTGGAGAGGATCGAACCAACTTGGAGCAATGGGAGTTTAGATAACGGCAATACTCATACTCATCATCATCACAATCACAATAACAACGGATCAAAAACAGGTTGGAGTATGGATTTCTACGCTGCAAATTTGTCAAAGTTTGGTACTTCTTCCCCGTCGATCGAAGTTTACATTGCAGGATGTTGCTCCTCTGTACCAGTCATATTGACCAAAACTATTCAAGTTAGTCCCCGGAGACGCGGTGGTTCAAGACATGGGATGCTACATGCTATTCCGGAGGATGAAGAAGAAGTCGATAAGGAACCTTTGAGGGACAATGGGGTTCTCCGGCAACGCAAATTACCGGTAACTTGAATATGTTATCAGTTATCTTCTTCCTTATTACTAATCTGCTGTCTGATTACTGATATGTTTTCTTGTCCAGCAGCATACAGCAGGGGAAGAAGCCGATGGGTATGAATCAGAAGGTAAAGTAGTGCCAAGCTACTATTCAGAGGAGATGTATTACGATGAAGATGGGCAGCTTACATGGTTCAATGCGGGTGTAAGAGTTGGAGTCGGAATTGGCCTCGGAATGTGTCTCGGAATCGGCATTGGTGTCGGATTGCTCATGCGCTCATATCAAGCAACCACACGGAATTTCAGGAGGCGATTCTTTTGAGGTTTTTCTCACTTCCCACATCTTCAAAAATGGCAAACTAACATACACTGTACACACTCTGGATTTTGAATATCCAGTAGTAGTCCCTATAGGGCACAATCCAATTCCACCTTCAAATGGAGCTTCTTTGAGAGACATATATAAAGATAAATGGAGCTTTTTTTTGATATATATACATAAAGAAGTAATAGCTCGGAAAAGTAAGTTAATGCGTTTGCTCGAAATGTTGTTTTTGTAGATAGGTTTTTTTCACTCTGAGTTTTGTTTTTAATGTATAATCTCCCTGTGGCACCATAACCCCTTTGTTTTTGCCAATGACTTTTCATTTCTTGTAATACGTTGTTCTTTCTATGGAATCTCAATCAATAATGCACAGTGTTTTTGGGGTTGTATATGAATATATCTTAGCCATCAATCCATACAGCGTTTTTATCATTGATCAAGTTAATGAATTTCTTTTTGTCTCTAAAATCAAGAGATCATGTGAAATTTTTGAAAAAGTTTATGCACATTCTAATCTAACCCCATCTTATCACGAACTCAAGAAAAAGTTGATGTTATAGAGGGAATTATTCTTTGGATCGAACTTGGAAAAAGTTGAAGAGAAAATCCAAAAAAGAATGTTGATTTTTGGGGGAAAAAAGGAGGCAAGAAGAGGACATGTAATTCATCTCCCTCCACAAACACTCGAAAGAAAGGCAAAAGAACTTGTAAAATCTTCCGAAAAGTCTTATTATTTTAGGAAAAGTTACAATTAAGTCCCAATTTCTTTTTTTGAATAAAAAAATCCAAAAAACCGGATAAACCTTACAATTTAACCCTTTTTGACTTTTTCAACCGGTAACTACTGACGTGGCATGCCAAGCTGGAAGGGGTCGCTGACGTGGCTTGCTAATTCAGCACACTTAAAAAAACAAATTACTAAAACAGATTGTAGGGGACGAGTTTCGAACAAGGGACCTCCTAGGCTTGTCCCAAAACTCACGCCAAACCACTCCCTTCACATATATATATATATATATATATATATATATATATATATATATATATATATATATATATATATATATATATATATATATATATATATATATATATATATATATATATATTGTTTATTTCATTTACTTGAAGTTGAAAGAAAAAATGATTTTAAAGGTAGAAAACAGGGGAGAATGGTATTCGAACACGGGACCTCTATCTCCCAAAACGCGACAGTGACCAACTACGCTGAAAACTTTTAGTTCTTTTTCCTTTCTTACGATTAATATATATCTATTGGAAAGTGAAAAAATAAATTACAATGTTTTTCTTTTCCTTACCAGCAATATACACTTATTTATATGTATTTTGTACAACTGGAAATGTATATATGTAATGATTTGTAAAAATACATATAAATATGTATATATATGTTTTTAATTGTAAAAAATACATATAAAATACGTAAAAAACACAAATAAATATATTAATTTTTTAAATTTGATAGTATTAATATTATTAAATAAATACATGTATAGTTATTATACACATAATATATATATATATATATATATATATATATTATATATATATATATATATATATATATATATATATATATATATATATATATATATATATATACGCGTTAAAAAATATATAAATTTGTTTTAAATGAAGGAAAAAAGTTTAAAAACTACATATAAAAGACCTATGTTTACGTTTTCATTTTTAATAATAATAATAATAATAAATTCTTTTAGTTTATAATGGAGGTATATCGCTGGTAAGGAAAAAAATTATCAAATGGTTGTCGGCATAGTTGGTCAGGTGCATGGTTTTGGTTGTAAGTGTCTCGTGTTCGATTTCCTTCGGCAACCTTTTTCTGCCTGAAAATTATTTCTTTGTAAAACTTCAAGCAAATAGATAAATAATATATATAAGTGTAAAAGAGTATTAGCAGATATGCCTTCTAGCCTAACCTTGCTAGTGGCGTCTTTTTGGTTGGTGAGGTTCCAAGTTCGAACCTTGTTGGCTACTTCTTCTCCGTAACTCCTTTTTTAAGGTTTAATGGCTGACGTGTCATGCCACGTCAGCATCCCAATCCAGCTTGGCATGCCACGTAAGCGGTTACCGGTTGAAAAGGTCATAAAGGGTTAAATTGTAAGATTTAGCCGGTTTTCTTGGGTTTTTTATTCAAAAAAAAAATTGGGACTAAAATGAAACTTTTGCGAAAATATTGAGACTTTTCTGAAGATTTCTCAAATAACTTTGTTGAAATGTTTTGCAAAAAATTGATGGTGACAACCGACAAAGGTCATATCAAGATGTTTTGCAAGAATCTCATGTAGAATACGAATCTAGTGAATAACAAGAAAATTGAAATGGAACTTGAGAAATGGAACATAAGAATGATACAAGAAATGTGTGTAGGAAGTGTTACAATATATGATGATTAGTAGTATTATATTTGGGACTATTGAGCATGTTTGCGGCTAGAAGAAAGTGTGCATGAAGTGGACATACAATCTACTTCCAAAAAAAAAAAAAAAAAATTTGTACTTAAAGGATATTCTTCATATCACTAATATTAAGAAGAAGTTGTGATTAAATTTGTAAGAGTGCAAGGAGTGGAGCGGTAGTTTCATCTCTTGTGGTACTGCAAAAATGCGGGTTGAGTGGGTTAGGCTGGAGGGAGTGGTGTCACACTCTCTCATGAAACCGCAGTGTCACGTAACGTCACGTTACCATTTACCACAAAAGTGTGGTTTCATACCATACACAATGAGTGGTGCCACACTTTGATTTTTTTTTTAATTAAATAAAAACTATATTTTTAAGAAAAACCATTCATTTTATTACTTCAAAATAAAAATAACATTACATTACAAACTTCAAAAAAAAAAAAAAAAAAAAAAAAAAAAAAACACTAGAAATTTTAAACCTACAAACTTAAAAAACATACATTAAACGATTAAAAATAAACACACTACATGAAGTCGTCCTCCGAGAACTCGTCTTTCGGGTCATCCTCCGGATCCAAATTGAGAATAATGTGTTGAATCTCGTAAATATGTTCCACCAAGTTCATACGAAGATTGTGAAATGTTTCATTGCAACGAACCTCTGCTCTATTTTCAATGTACTTGTAGCCCCAATTTCTATTGCTTGTGTCACAGGAATGGTTTCCTCTTCATCATACTCACATATCGCTCTTCCTTCATTTTCGATAATCAAATTATGCAGTATTATACATGCATACATGACTTCATGCATTTTTTCCTCGCTTAAAAAATTGCTGGTTTTTTCAATATAAACCAACGTTTCTTGAGAGCTCCAAAAGCCCGCTCGACATCCTTCCTAACTCTTTCTTGAGCTTTCTTGAATTTTTTTTTCGACGAGTGTCATTCGGACACGTAAACGATTTAACAAAAACTGCATACTCGTGATAGATCTCATCAACTAGATAATAACCATATTTATATGGTGTTCCACGCAATTGGAAAGAAGAATCCGATGCAGATCCATCATATATGTTGTTAAATATAGGTGAACGATTAAGAACGTTAATGTCGTTAAGGGATCCCGGAGAACCAAAAAAAGCATGCCAAATCCACTGATCATGTGATGTCACCGCTTCAAGTGTTACCGTTGGATGCCCATGATCACCTTGGGTAAATTGACCATGGTGTGAGGCAGGGCAATTTTCTCATGCCCAATGTAGACAATCTAAACTTCCTAACATTCCAGAAAATCCATGTACGCTAGCATGATGAGATTGCAATTTCATGATGCCATTGCGTGTAGCCGTGTAGGCTTACGTAAATGTTTTGGACCATAAAACTGAATAATAGTTTTGCAAAAATAGTGTAGACTATCTCGTGCGGTCCTAGCTGACATCCTAAAACTCTCGCCCAACGCATCAGGAGGGATGCCATATGCTAATTGACGAAGTGCAACTGTACATTTTTGTAAATGGGTGAAACCGGGTGTACCTCTAGCATCGAGTCGTTGCTCGAAAAAATCACACTCTCTCGTTAGATCTTCGATGTTGTGACATGCTCTACAGGGGATTGGATGCTGGTTGATGGATCAGTCATGGAAGTTTTCCTGATAACACAACACAGAAGAACCGTTAAAGGACGACTGGGTGTTCTCCTGGGACGTCGCTCCAACGATCAAGTTAGTTTCTTAGAGAGAGAGTTTAGGGTAAATTCTGTGATGAAGAAGACGTATCCCTTCCTTGAGCCGAAAGAGATCATTTTATACATGTTACTAACGGATCGTGGGGACCCTGTCCAGAGGGTGTGAGACTTGGCTGTGACATCCCCTAATTTCTTGGCCAGAAAAGACCGATTTAATTTATGCTTTTTAAAATAAAATCAGAGAAATCTTTTCAAAAGATGTTGCGGAATTGGTCCCCAAACAACATATGATAAAAGTTTATCAAAACCCTTCATTAAGAAGGTATATATTTTCCATATATATCAAAACCTCGGGATGTCATGTTCCGATACAGACCAAAAGCATAAACAAGACATTATAAGCCTTACTACAGTTATTTACAACTACTGGCCTATAATCCAAAAATCTCACGTCATCCTCCGACTATGCTCGGGGTCCACTACCTGTAATCATAAAAAAACTGAGTGGGTCAGGCTTGGGAGCCTGGTGAGCATATAGGGTTTTCAACCCACAGTAATAATAAACTTATTAAATTCATCAATCAATAATAACCCTGATTACCCGTTCCCGTTATCCTCACTTTACGTCCCTAAACACTTTTCACAAGGGACCTAGCCTAAAGAATATCATCGGGATGGACACTACTGCTAAGGGGTTTCCTTAGCCATACATGTCCTAAAGGCAACCATGAGGGGGATTGGAGTACAGCGAATAAACACCCAAGTTCATTAACACCTACAGGTTGCAGACCTGCTAATGTTTCCCACTGGACTGTCTAGAAAGTTCGTGGTCGTCATCCAAACTCCGCTAGATGACTGAATCACAAATCACATCGAGGCCTCTCATCACTTTTATTTTATCACACATCACGATCTACCCATGTTCTACCCAACATATTTGTAGATAAAAATACTTATACAGTTTAAAACTTGTATAAAACATCAACTCAACAGTCACCTCAAATAAACAATTAATATATTTACACATAGCACGTATTATAAGGTAAATACTTCATATCTATGTGTAAAATAAAAGTGACTATACACTCACTTGATTTAATGAAAATCGGGCAGCAATTCGTTTCCTAAAAACGATCGTTTCTAATAAAACCGGGAGTTTTATTCAGAAACCGGGCTCTGCGAGGGTCGGGCTTCGAAACCGAAAAGATAAATTCCGGGGGTTATGATCGATATCGGGGCTTTGGGGATGCTAAGATGAA